AGGGAAAAAGGTTATCCTCGATAGGGAAAGAAATTCCATATTTCTTCATCAATTCAACGATCCCGGCCTTCTTCGTTATTCCTAGCATTGTACGAGAATGTCCTTTCACGAGGTATAAATCGTTTCAATAATGATCGAGGGAGAAAGAGAGAGAGAGAAAAGAGGCAAAAAAAGAAACTTACGCCTTTGAATGAAAAAGACTTTCTCGACGGTTGAGAAAGACTTATCGTTTTTTTTTTTTTTTCCTTTCCACGGAAAGAAGGAGAACGAAAAAAAGAAAAAGGGTGTTGATTTAATTAAAAAAAAACGCAGTTTTTTAAATTGGCGCGCAGCGAAGAGAAAGGTGAATGAAATTCCTTCCTCCTCCATCGATTAATTTGCTAATTTATAACGAGAAAATTTCCCGATGCTTGATTAATTGGAACGTTGCCGCGTCGCGAGAATAATGTCCCGTTTATTTCGTTCCGCCACGCCACCAGAACACCCTCCCTCCCTCCCTCCCTATTTCTCTCATTTTCACCCTGTTAAAACAACTTTTGCATAATTTTGTCGCGCTGAATATTACATTTTTTTAACGCGCGCGTCCCCCTTCCTTTTTTTTTTTTTCTTCATTCGATTTAAGCCGGTCGACCAGATTGCGGGCGAGGAGGGCGCCACCGTCGATCCACCGTCAAATCGCGCGCGTGGTCATTTATGACCACGCGTGAATTTTCTGTAACGATTTTCGCTACCTTGAAACGCGATCTATCGGATCAAACAGTCATTTAAAATTATTACACAAAATTGTTCGAATAACGTCTTCACATTTCGTTCGATCCGATATTATTTCAATTATCGATGCGCCAGCGATTCGTTTTGATCGAGAAGCTTAGCTCGATTCGTAAATATTTGGTTATAAGTATTTCTTTCTAGTATCGTATTCCTTTAGCGTATATTTCTCGAACTGGTTTCGAATAAAATATCGATGTCACGGGTATATGATCGGAAGATTATCGAGAAATTTCGACGGTGTCTTTTATTCGGGGGGGGGGGGGGATAAAAATGTCGGGCGTGACGAACGGCCGTGCAAGTTTTATTCGTTGACATTTTGTCTTACTACGCGGATATATATATATATATATATATATATATATATATATA